AAAGGGCTCACGCGCCGGCGTGACGGCGGCGGACTAGGGTTCCGGCGACGGCGGGGGGTTCCTGCATGAACAGTAACTCCGACGATGAACAGTAACGGCGATAAACCCTAGGCTCTGATACCATGTAATCAGAGAGAACTAGGACCGAGATATTAGAGAGAATTCTCTATTATATGATTAATCAGAATAAAATTAAATTTACAAGAGGAGATACACTATATATAGACATAATTACACGGGAAACCCTAACTCTAAAGCCCATCGGGCTTGGACACATTACCATAAACAGGTTACTTAATTAACAGCCTTTTGAGCATTGCCTCAACTTTTGTCATATCCACGGACACCTTTTTTCCTTCATTCCTTAGTGTCTTCGTCATCGATTTTAATGATACTAGGGATCTGCCAAGAGCTGAATTTTCTTTTAAGGTTAGGGTTTCCCCTCCTTTTTTGAATTTTATAACATGGTTTTGCCAATTCACCCATGTTAGTCCTAGTGAGGCCAACCATTTAACGCCTAATATTACGTCCAAGTTTACCAAATTAATGGGCAAAAATTCTTCCACAACTTCAATTTCTTGCATACTTAGCTTCACCCCTTGACATACTCCCCGTCCCTTCATGGCTTCTCCCGTTCCCATTGAGATATCATATTCTTTTGTGATTCTTGTAGATAACTCGAGTTTCTCAACTAACATCGTGGCTATAAAATTGTGGGAAGCCCTACTGTCAATTAAAACAACTATCTTTTGGCCTTCTACCTCTCCTTCTAGCTTCATAGTCTTTGTTGTTGACAGTCCTACTATTAAATTGAATGATACTTCTATTTCTCCCGTTTCTATCCCCGCCAATTCCATCATCTCCCCCATGTTCGCGTCTTCATCGACGTTGTACTCTTCCGCCTCTTGAACCACCAACACACTAAGCTCCTTTTTGCATCGGTGACCCGGAGAATACTTCTCATCACACCTATAACATAAACCTTGAGCCCTACGTTGTTGAAGTTCTTGATTGGACAACCTTCTGAATTCCCCGACAGATTTTCCTCCCTGTCCACTACTCTTGTTGGAGGGTTTAACAAATCCCTTGTTTCCCACAGATCCTTCTCCATTACGCTTGTTCAGCCAGCTACCTTTTGGGTTATTTATTCTTGCTAAAATCTTGTTTTTTTTCTTCTATCCTCTGAGCTAGTTCCATGGCCTTTCCCAATCCCACCGGTGCGAGGGTGCGGACTTCTGCCCTGATTTGTGGACTCAACCCGTTTAAGAATTGACTAACGAAAACTTCGTCCATAATCCCTTCTAACGGGGTTGCCAACATAACAAACCTTCTTTTGTATTCTGCCACGGTGTCGTCTTGCTTAACAGCCAAGAATTGCTCACGTAAAGATCCCTCCCCGCTGGTCTAAATTGATGAAGCAGTAATATTTTTAATTCTTCCCATAGCCTAATGGGTCTCCTCTTATTCTCCCACTAGAACCATAGCAAGGCGTCACCCTCAAAAGCAATGACCGAGACTTCTAGTTTTTCTTCATTGGTTAGTTTATTAAGAGCGAAATACCTTTCAGCCCTCAATTAGGCATGGGAATGGATCCCCACCCGTCGGGGAACCCGGTCCACCCGCCCCAGTCGGGGACGGGGATTCCCCGCTAAATCGGGGATGGGGATGGGGATGAGGACGGGTATCGTACTCCCCCGCCCCGTACCCGTTATATATATTAATTAATAAATTATATATATATATATATATATTTATACATATATATATATATGTGTGTGTGTGTGTGTGTATTATTTATTTCAACTAAAGCGGTAATTCATAATTTCCTAACTGGTTTATTATCTAAAATTGTTATTTTTTTGATGTTAATATGTAATATTTTGGATGTCAAGTCAAAATACAATTACTCCATAAGTTTTGTATATTACTCGGTATGGTTTTATATTACTCCATATCTTTTGGTACATGTGACCTTAAGTTTTTTTTGGATTAAATTGATTATTTTTTCCGTTTTAGGTTATTAATTCTTATGTAATATTTGTGGTTCTTTTGTATTAAATTAATTTCATTTTGGTTTTTATGTTTATTGAAAATGTTTGAGATTTAAACATATATGGTCTCTTACATATATAATTTAAAATAACTTACATAAACAGAAAAAAAATCCCCGTTTTCCCGTTGGGGATGGGGATGGGGATGTGATTATATTCCCCGGCAGGGATGGGGACGGGGATGAAGATACAGATAAGTAATCAGGGACAGGAACGGGGATTGAGGTCCCCGCCCCATTCCATGCCTACCCTCAATATCCAACTGAATGGGTCTGTCCCTTCGAACACAGGTAACTCTAGTTTCCTCCCCCTTATCGCAAGAAACCGACCAGTATCGTAGTTTTTGTCTACGCGATAGTCCGCCTTTTTTGGTTGTCCATTGTCCTCGCTTTCATCTTCTCGCCCGCTCTTCTCTGTTCTCATAACCGCTTCTTCTTGCAATATCAACATTGTTTCCATTTGTTTGATCACTTTCTGCATGTCGTCCTTCAGCGAGTTCACCTCCGCTTGGACCGTTCCCAAGCTTCCCTCCACCTCGTCCATCCTCGATGTTGTTGATCGAGTCATTATCGCGTGAATAGTAATCATAAACAGTGATCGTGAACAGTAATTCGTGGATAGTAACACGATTACTTATCGAGAACATCAGCGGTAGGCTCTAATACCAATTTGATAAGAGTCGATAAAAGGTTGCCAAGATTCAAGTATTAAAACCCTACAGCTTTCGAGAGGCTGCAGTCTCTTCCTATTCAATTGCAGAGAATTGAATTATAATAAATTGATCTATATTCCAAAAAGGTAAACAATGAAGGTATTTAAACTAACAAGTAAAAGACTCCTAGAATAAAACGGATCCTAAAGAAAAACAAATAAAACAATTAAAATAAAAAAAAGGTAGTTATATGTAAACTTGAGGACTTATGACTTATCCAAGACTTGCTTTATCTTTATCTTATTAATCTGCCCTCCTCTCTTTTCTTCTTGAATATGTCTACACTCTGAAGTCTATCAATATACTTCTAGATTTGAGTAAGTAGACCCGTGAATCAGATGAGGGAGAATATCAACCGCGTTCCTTGAGTCCGTATAAGCCATATCGGCAACTTTCTCCTAGGAAGAATCTGGATCATTCTAAGACAACATAGAGTTCTCCATTTTGTGCTAGACTAATCTTGTATTGTACAAAACATTCATGATTCTAGTATTTAGGGTCATTCCTACCCCCTCAATTGTACCTCTGTGTGGGATATATACTAGGTTCGTTTGTTTTGGTTTGTTCTAGGTTATTTCTTGGAGGGGTGAAGATCCATATAGAAAAGTCCTCATTTGTAATTCATCCAAGATGTTGCAAGAGTTGTGAGAAAGAATAAAGCATAAACCTTATATAGTATCGTTTCTTGTTCTTTGTGTGTCCTTTAGATCTATCTTTTCCGTTTGAGGCATCTTTAGCACACATAAAGTCTGATAAAAGTAAGTTTGTGACGATAGGATTCTAAGCGTTTTTGGGTTCATGTATAACAAGACACTATGCGTATTTTATGAACCATATCTGTAATGAAGATAGAATATGAAGGAAATCTCGTAAGCCTTCTTCGATTAAATCGATTGTAGTTTTATTTTGTGATGCTGACCAAGCGTCTTGAAAGAAGTCAAATTTGATCCTATTTGTGATAAGTTGGGCATGCTTGATATCTATGCTCCAAATTGATTGTGACATATATAAGCTTAGTGGCATTAGCCTTTTGTGTGTGTATATATATATATACACATCGTGGGAGGTTCAAATAAGAAGACTCAATATCGTGATTCATGAGAAGATAAGAAAGGAATGTTCATATGTGAATCATTGAAAAATTCCATTTGAAGATGCATATATAAACCTAGATGAATAATCTTTAACACACGTTCACATATGCATCTTCAAATAGATTTTTTCGATGATTCACATATGAATTTTCCATTCTTATCTTTTCAGGATATTTATCCTTCTTATTTGAACCGGCTCCTATACATGTATATGAAACATACGGCAATGTTCCATATTGTGAAACAATGGATGTTCATAAGTTTCACATGGTGAAACAAATACATGTAAAACAATACCTTGAGTCAAGGCTCAGATGAAACTCATTGAATGGTTGAGATTGGCTCTCACGGGTTCTTAACTCTTTTGAGATTCTCATTTGATTATACACCTATATATACGCATATTTATACATGTATATGTAGGATAAAGTTCATTTAGGAACCGTAAATATTTTGAGATCCTTGAAAACTAATTATTCATGACGAATATCATGCATTTTCATTATTCATGACACTCATCATGAATATCTATCATGCTATGCATCATGAATAGTTGGTTCTAATGATTCTTAAAATATACAGTTCTCAAATGAACCTGCCCCTGTAAACATACATACATACACACATACATATACATACATACATATATACATATATATTGCTCTTTTTTCTTACACACATGTGCATGTGTACGAATTCACAGTATCTTGGTAAAACTCTGAAAAGGCTTTCTTTGTTGATGTTAAAGAACCTTCTATGAATTCAATTGGCTCCATTGATAGCTTGATAACCCTTTTGTGTCGGGTTTGTAAAGTCACCCATGTGGTGTCGTATGGGGGGTGAGTTCATGTGGGTTCTACTATCTTGTTGCAAAAAGAAGCGAGAAGCTACAGACGATAACTTTACGCTTGAATCTCACAAAAGCGGAAGAGCTTTTGTCTTTCTTTCATTCACACACTTTCACAAGCCAGGGGTATTTACAGGAAACCACGTTACTTTTTGGGGTTAGATGTCAGGTCTGCTTACATTTTATCCTCCCCCCAACCTACCTTCAGGTGGGATGTATTGGGCTCGTTTGGTTTGTTTTCCTGGGACTGAAGAACACATTTCTAACTCGTTTACATACATGTATTTTCTTTACAGGTATCGTGCAATTACAAGTGCTTACTACAGAGGAGCTGTTGGTGCTCTACTCGTATACGACGTAACTCGTCGTGCTACCTTCGAAAACATCGAGCGGTGGTTGAAGGAGCTGCGAGACCACACGGACCCCAACATCGTTGTCATGCTAATTGGTAACAAATCGGACCTCCGTCACCTACTCGCAGTTTCGACTGATGACGGCAAAACGTTGGCTGAAGCCGAATCCCTCTATTTCATGGAGACTTCGGCGTTGGAAGCAACTAATGTCGAAAGTGCTTTTAGTGAAGTGATTACACAGATTTACAGGATCGTAAGCAAGAAAGCGGTTGAGGCTGGAGACGACGGTGCTCCGGCTTCGGTTCCTTCGAAAGGAGCAACGATCGATGTTAAGGATGATTCATCGGGTCCAAAGGGATTCGGGTGTTGCTCAAATTAGGTGTTGGTTTGTGTTAGTGTTGTATATTTATTTCTAATGTTGGCATGAGAATACAGCAAGGAGTGTTTTCATGAAACTGTTGGTCAAGTTATGGTATAGTTTTGAATTGGTCTGATTTTAGAATGTGAAATATATTAAACTTGCTTATTTCTTCTTTCTTTTTTACTTTCATTTTTCATTTGCTACACAAAACTGAGGTTACATTTGCAATGCAATTCTTGGTGTAAGGTTTAGGGTTTAGGGTTTCTTTTTTTTAATATTAAATTTTGGGAAAATCCAAATAATCTTGCAAGGCTTGAACTCATAACCTATAATAAAAAACAACCGAAAAAACCAAAGTCTTATTGTCAGTTGAACTAATTCTATTTTTATCTGAGAATTCATATGTTCCAAGATCCATGTATTACTCATTTTCATGTTTCATTATTATTGGTATTATGAAACTAAAACTATATCTATCATGTGTTCTTAGATGATGGTTTGTGGAATTGATTTTGTGATTCTCTACAAATATCTTATGTAAATTAATCATTTGTACATGAAATTTCATTTATTTAAGGTAGCGTTTAGTACACAGACATAATTGGACAGTACTGAACAGGATAGGACAAGAGGACATGACTGAACTGGACGGGACAAGACTGAACATAACAGGAGTATGTCTAGTGTTTGGTATGACTAAGACTGGACATGACAGAACTAGACAAGCTACCCCAAAAGTTATTTGATGATTTTAAATATTATATAATAGTTATAATTAACACAAATAAAATAAATAATTAAAGAATAAATATTTGTACATAATTTTTATATTTGTACCAAATTTGAATGAAAATTTTGATATAATTGATGGTAGTAGTGGGGGTGGTGGAGGTGGTTTTGGTTATGGTGGAGGTCGTGGTGGCCGAGGGTAGTAATGGCAATGGGGGGTGGTGGTCGGTTTTTGGATACTGCAAAGAAATTGTCTGATCTAGAGACAGAACTTGTAACTGAATTGAATATGAGATCTGAACTTAAGAAGAAGTATGATTTAGTTGCTGATGAGAGAGACTAGTTACTTAAGAAAGTAACAGACTTTTCAAGAGCTGAAAGCTCAACTGGTTCTCAATCTCAGTGTAAAACTTGCTTTTATAACTGTTCCGGTGTTAAATCCAACAGTTATTCAAGCAGTCCTAAATCAATTGTTTCTAAGAACAAGTCTCGTTTTTCAAATCAATTTTATCAAGGGTATGTCATTGGATCACCCAATAAATTTTCAAAAGTTAAACAAGTTTGGGTTAATAAAGCTGATTCAGTTGTGTCTCATAAATCTGTTGTTACTAACACTGTTCTTCCTTGCGCTGTGAGATCTACTAATCAATTGACCGGTCTCAGCAAGAGAAGAATCCTATGCTCAAATTGTGGAACTAATGACTTTGTTAACAAGAAGAAGATCAACATAGGATATGGGAACAACTGGTTTGAAAACAGCTGAAATTCATTTAACAGGTATAATAATGACTGGTATGGTTCTTACTGCTTATCTGATCTACATGTTAAAAGTACTAAAAAGAAGACATCTAATAGAAATAGATGGTTTGACAGTTACAACATACCCCAGCCCGATACTAACAAAATATGACCCAAATTCATTTGGGTACCAAAATCTTTTTGATCTGATTTTGCAGGTGTGTCAATTTTGTGCTGATCAGAATATCATATCAGTGATACACTAATGCAGAGGGAGTTGTAATCTGTTCCAACAAGGCTTCTGAACAATTCAGTTCAGAACATGTGCTTTACCGAGTGTGGTTTCTAAACACTCAATTTAGAACTCGTGCTTAAAATGTTTCCTTTATTTTTTTTTTAGTTTTTGAGCTGAATCGAAACATTTCTATAATATACTTTCTAGGAGGAGTCTTTAGAAGTTCAATAAATGTTTTTCGGAAAATAGTTTTTTTTTTTTGGAAACGAGTACATTTTCTGAACAAGTATTTCCTAAGATTTTACTTGTGTAATTTCTCATCGTWCATAACTCCAATACCTGTTTCAGCTATTCTTCAAACCGTTATTATCACGTCTCTTATATATAAATCATTTTCGGTGATAATACACTCGTTTGTATTCAAATGTTGTTTTTCTATTTTTTTTACTTTGAATGATATACATTTCATTTTTTTAATCTGAATCTGTAAACTTGTTCTTACAGATCTTTATTCATTTCTCTCGCATGCTGAATAATCTGATCGTTGTCGCATCATTCTTTTATTGATTCTGCTTAAAGCCAAATATATTGATCAATTTTTATCTGATCATTGTGCTTATCTGGAATAATATTCTTGATCAATCATTGTGATCAACTGAGCATACAATGCTAAATTTTAGGAGGGACTGAGTGCTTATCAGAAATACCTCTATGAAATGTCAGGATCGACAGACCTACCCAAGAGGATAACCATATCTGAGTGAGCTTTATATACAAAAGGGTTTGTGTGCTGAGACTAAAATGAAAATGAAAGGGGTAGTTGTTGTGAGATTAAAAAAATTGACGAGAGTTGCGTCAGGATTAAAAGAACATAAGAATTCTGTTCCAAACTTCTAAAATCCGGGCATACCACACAATCTATTAGTTCTCAATTCTTTCGAGACTAATATTGAAAAAGGCAAAGCCCAGACCAATTCTTGTCACAACCCCACCAGCTACTCATTTATCTCTTAACAGATAAATGTTTCAATAACACTTGGAGCACGCAGCTCATCATCTATCAATTTCTCATTCGGAGAAAGTTGATATTGAATCATAATGATATATGTCCCCCCTTCAAGTCTTTTTGATCACTAATTAAGTCTGATAAATTTATGTAATCCACACGATTTATCTTTTTGAGCCTAAACATAAGCATTAGTTGCTTTATCTTTTTACACTACACAGATTTGCATTTTATATGTTATTTTGCCTAAACATTCATAGATATGCTAATTTTAAGCTATCGATGATTGAATGGAAGACCTGGTGATATGAGCATCATAAAGTCTCATATATACAGTACATCCGTTGTACTGAGTATATCTGTTATACTCACAGGCCAATCTTTTATAAGATTGAAAACAATTTTATTCGTTGAAATTGGTTGTTATCTTCCCATTCCCTTAATCTGAAAAGATTAAACAAGTGGATTTGAAAAGATCTACTTACAATTTCATGAATTGACGGGTTTCGCGGAAAATTTCATTCATTCTTGTGTATGATGTAATGATTCTCATATCATCATAAGGGATACATCATAAGGGAATGAAATGTTCAATTCCGAACATTATAAGGGGAATTGTTATAAAGATCAAGGGGGAGTAACATCAAAATTGGCAAAAGACTCAAAAGAAGTGCGACTAGAGATGATTACAAAAGATTATTCCGATGCTACAATGTCTGAGAGTTGTTGAATGTGAAGTTCTATTTTACAATAGTTTGCTGAAGATCAATTCTGAAGATCGTTATTGTTTCTGATCTATATTGTCAAAAGAGAAGAATATCGGGGTTCTACATTCGAGGGGAAAATGTTAGAATATCTTTCTCAAACAAATGATTGTCTGAAGATTTCGAGCTGAAGATTGTTTTGAAGAAGACATAGTGTGATTAAAGCATCAAAGTTCAAACGAGACTCAAAGCGCACAAATTCTTTTACGTCTGAATACAAAGAGGGAGAATGTTAGGACTGAAAATCAGTGTAAAATTGTATTCGTCTTGAAAGTTAATTTTGTCTATAATTGTATTAAAAGTCACCGTGTTTGACTTTTCTTAGAGAGTTTGACTTTGACTTTGTCTAGATGTTTGACCCTATATAAAGGGTATGTTATATCCCAGATCTGACAGTAGAACGATTTACACTAGAAGTTTGTAAGAGTAAGTAAACAAGAAGATTAAACAGAGAAATAGCGGCTGCTTTTCTATTATTGAAAATAGAGATTACAAACTCCCAATAAACCCTAATCGACTCTCATATGATTTTGAATCTATGTATTACAATGAAGTTTTACTATCTGCTCTCGTACATATTTCTCTATCTCTAACACTCTATTTATAGGCAGTAACCTACCAAACCTGGATAAGATTAATGCTATCCAGAACAGGAATAGCCTTATCCAGATAAAGGAAACTGAATGTAGTCATCTAAAAGATAACAGAGGACGGCACAGCCAGAGAGTCTCTTGTCAAATAGAACAGAGGCTCTGTTAGCATCACCAGAGGCTCTGTGAGCATTCACAGAAGCTCTGGTCTTCACAGAAGCTCTGGTCCAAGGGACTTGGAGTCCAAGAATTCTGCTCCGCATAGAACCTCACAGAGGCTCTGGTCATCACAGAAGCTCTGTAGTCTCTGAAAGAAGCTCTGATTATCTGGGACTCTTTAGCACAGAGGCTAGTCTTCTAGACTTTAGACGATTTGGCGCAGATACTTCTTCAGTTCGTCTTCTAGCTCTGGATTGTTTCATGAAACTTTTTCAAGTTAATTATTAACTTTAAAAATAAAGCTAACAGGGTATTTCCTTTGTAATTTTTGTAAGAGCTCCATTGTAATATTCAGTACATAATAATAAGAATTTGACCAAAGTTTGAAAGTTGACTTTTTCTCTCATCAACTCCTCTCATGGTCTTGAAGAAAATCTTAGATCTGCCATGGATGTTTGAAGCTTTTATGAAGATTGATCATCAAAGTGACCTAACAGTGGCCGACAGTGGTTATGGAGGTAGAGGCAGTGGTGCTTGGTAGACGACGATGGTTATAGAAGACATGAAGATGGTAGATTGTGGTGGTGGTGGCGGCTGACAACGATGGAGGAGGTAGTTGTGGTTGATGTAGTGAAGATAGTGGTAGTGGTGGTTATGGTGGAGGTGAGATGGCAATGAATGGTGGTGGCCGATGGTGGTCGCGGAGGTCGTGGAGGAGGTTGTTGCAGTATATGAGGAGTTGAAGGTGGCAAACGACGGTAGTAGTGGTAGCAATGGACAGTAGTGGTCGGTGGTCGACTATGGTAGAGGTGGCAATGGATTTGGTGGACAGTAGTGGTCGATGGTCGACTACGGTAGAGGTGGCAATGGACTTGGTGGACGGTGGTTGTGGAGGCGGTGGAGGATGTTGTTGTAGTGGAAGAGGAGGTGGCCGTCGGTGACCGC